CTTTTGATTTACCTATAACTCGATCCTTATTTTTTAATTTTTTATCAAATAAGAGGGATAAAAATGCTCATATATTATTTTTAAAATATCCTCTTTCTTATTCATTATAATGAAATATAAGCTAACATGAAAAAAAAATTAACAAAGGTTAGGAACTATTTGTAAGTGATTTAAAAGTTAAGAGACTGAGTATAGGCGAGTTATAATTGAGAGTTGAGTTATAGGTGAGTTATAGTTGAGGGACTGAGTTTACAGCGATCATAGTTGAGGAACTGAGTTACAGCCAGTCATAGTTGAGGGACTGAGTTACAAGTGATTTAAAAGTTGAAAAACTAAAAGTTTAATTTTTCCTAAAAAAAACTTTCTCAAAAAATACATTATTTCAAAATAGGAGTGTGATTTGTAGTTGATGAGTGGTCTAATTCATTTATTCCTAAATGTCTTAACTATAACCATTATTTTATCAACACTTGAAAAATTATCAAGATATATTTTTTTTTTGAAAATTCAAAACAGCAACCACCATCATAACAATCCTTAATTATACTGTTCTTCTTCCAAAAATTGAAATTTGTATTTTCTGAATATCATATAATAAAATCTCTAACATCTTTTAATTAAATCAATCAATTATTATCATGTAAAATACTTATTAGTTATTAAGAAAATGGATTAGCGCCACCCACTGGATCCAGAGTAGTACAAATTCAGTAAGAGAGGGGATTATTAATTGATTAATTCTCTTTCAACCGCACATGATAGATATGTAGTGAGAGATAAGATCAGCCAAAGTATATATCTAAACAGGTAAAAAGAAAGACTATAATATCCGAAACTGGAATATAATAGATATTCCATATCCAATATTATAAAGTATTTTTTAAAATATTACAATAAAAAATATAAGACATTTTGAATGGCATTTTTTAAAATATTATAATAAAAATATAAGATATTTTGAATGGTTCAAGGTATATTTAATAATATTTTTTAATTTTTAATTGAGACAATCTATTAAATAAGTGCAAGCATGAACAAATGTGTAATTTAAAAAATAATTAACAAGTAATTCATATAAAGTATAATTTGATTAAAAACATTTTATAACATTAATCGAAGGAAATAAATAAGAAGCAAAAGCCGCAAACTACTGAATGACATGGAATTGGATTTGATTCACACATTGCATGGATGTTGTAGAGTTTCACATGAATTGGGCTCTCTATTCGTCCTTAATTTTAATGAAAAAAATTATATTAAAGTCTCATATAAAAAAATTAATTATTATAATATTTATTGATAATTGAATAAAATTGTATTAATAATACAATCAATTATTAATGCAATTTTGTTCAGTTATTAATAGATTTTGTAATAATTAATTTTTCTGTATAAAACCTGATTGTAATTCTCCCATTTCAACGTCATAATTATGAGGAGTTATCTGTTCATTATGTTTCACCCGTGATTTCAATTATCAATGTCAAATTATGTTTAGGGTTAGATCATCAGATACAGTTGGATGATTATGTGTCAACTGTCAAATACTGTTTTTTTTATTATTATTTCAATGAACTCAACTTTCAAATACTCCTCCCAGCTCTAGTTTTATTTACATGTTATTTTCAATATATTTGATTAAAATTAAGAAAAAATTTAAACTCATTAATTATATTTAAAAGTTTAATAAGGTATAAATTTTGTCTATATAAAATATATGTACTTTTCTTACTAACATTTAATGGAAGACAAAATAACAAATTTAAAATAAAATTTACTCCTTTCGTTAAAAAATGTAAGACATTTTTAATCAAATTTTATTTATAATAAAGTAGTTACTTATTTTTAAATTAATTTTATTTTTTCATATTTATCCTTATTTAATAAAATGTTTCATTCTAAAATAAATATCAACTAATTTATTCAGTAAGGATATTTTTTAAAAAGGGGTAATGATTATACTTTAAAAAATTAAAAATATCTTATATTTTTTAACATTTAAATTTTTTAAAAATACTTTATATTTTTGAGTGGAGGGAGTAATAATATGATTTAAAAATAGAATTAAAAATTTTTCTCACTGAGCATGTAAACTGGCCAAGAGTGAGTATACCTAAAACTTGATTTCATGGGCCAGCTTGTTAAAACTTGAAAAATAATTAGCATTTCTTTCGGCCCAACCTTTCTTTTCCCGTTGGTCGAATTAGGTGGCGAGTGGTGACCGGTTAGCCTTGCCTATCAATTATCAAATGCTTGTCTACGGAAAAAAAATAAAAATAAAAAGGAAAAATAATAATTACAGAATTTATATAAGCATTGATGATAATTAAAGATCTTGATATTGAAATATTATGGTAGGATCATAATCTTTATCAACAATTAAAAGACTTTAATTATTAAAACAATCAATGGGAGGTCACTCTTTAAGAAAAGTTATTAGTAAATTTAAGAAATGTCATTTTGTGAAAAAGTCAACTATAAATTGATAAAGTTGGCCAAAAAAAATTATAAATAGATAAATAATTTCATAAATTTATGTAATGTTACTTATAAATTTATAAAAGTTTATTTGTAAATACTCCCTCCATTAAAAATATAAGGTATTTTTAATTTTACCTTCAATGTAATAATTACTTGTCTTAAAATTAACTCTATTTTTTATATTTATCTTTATTTAATAGAGTTTTTTACTCTAAAATAAATGTAAAATAATTTATTTAATAGAGATACGTTTAGGAAAAAAATGATTATATCTTGAAAGACATTACATTCTTTAATATATAATTTTTTAAAAAATATCTTATATTTTTGAACGAAGTGAGTAGATATTAAAAAATATGAGAGGGTTACTAAATGACAGATTTACAAATAATTTAAAACATTAGTATCTGAATAAAATATCCTCATTTAATCATGTCATTCATAAGAGAAAATAAGAAATAATATTAATAAAAGGAAAAATATATTTGCAAGTTCTTATAGTTCCATTCTATTTTGAATTAAATTCCTACTGTTTATTTTATTTTAATTGAACTCTTATAATTTAATCACTTTAAATTTTTAATCCCTAAAGGTTAGAATCCATAAATTTATACTTAATTACATAATTTTTATAAATCAAAATTAATATAATTAGGTTGCCTTCTAAATTTTTTTATACATATAGAATTTTTGTAAAAAAAATTATAAAATTGAAAACAATGAATTAAATCAAATTTTCTTTTTCAATTTTGATTAAAAAATTAAATTAAACTTTTTGACTAAAAATAGCATTTCTATTTTGTGAAATTTAATAATTCTTTTTTAATTTTAATCGGGGTATGGTTAACATATATAATAGATTAAACTATAAGGGCTTGATTAAAATAAAATAAATTACTAAAACTTAATTTAAAATTAAATAAAACTATAAAGATTTGCAGATTAATTTTCTCTTAATTAAAAACAAGGGTGATGGGATGGGTAAAAAGAAGAGTTGATGAAAGAGAGTGATAATTATTTGTCAAGCATCATAAGGAAATGACATTAAATAATCAAAAGATTGAATAAATTTAAATAGAGATAAAAAATTGGAAATAAAAAAATGAAGATAGAAGGTCCTTTAATAAATTGGAAATCATAGAGCAGTAGATTTTTATACCTTGGTTTATACTTTGTAACTCAACACATGAATTTACAAGTAGCATTCATTAATTTGTAAAAGAAAAGTGGGAATACATTTTCTAAAATATAGGCTTGTTTGGCTTTTGTTTTCAAAAACAGGTTTTTGTTTTTAAAAGAAAAAATTTAAAAAACTTATTTGAATGAGCATTTTGAATCTAATTGTTTTTAAAACTATTCTTATTTTTTTAAACAAAAAATAGAAACATCTTAAATTTTTTTCATCTTATTTTTCTTGTTTTCAAAATTTATTATTTTTATTATTGAAAACTATAGTTATCTTAAGTCTTGACCACTAATTACCGTAAGTCATCACCATTAACCATTGATGACCATCACTATTGATCCATTGATTGATTTTAAAACTGTCTTGAGTTGATGGAATTAAACATATTTTTTTATTTTGAAAAATAAAAAAATGAGAACAGTACCTAAACAAGCCCTATATCATGGTTTTGATAGTTTTTTGCTACCTTTTGGTTTGAATTGCAGCTCTTGAAATATGAATTTGCAAGTAACATTTGTTAATTTGTAAAACATATCAATATATACTTTCAGTAATTTGCCCTAGGCTCATTTCCTAGTTTGCAATTATCAAAACACATTTGTTAGTGTGTATTCTCACTTTTAGAGCAAGTCATTGAAGAACATTTGGTCCTCATTTTTAATTTCCAGTTCTTTTGATTTTTATTTAAATATATTTCAATCTTTTCTTCTTTAATGTAATTTCCCCGACGATCATTCCATGACTTGAAGGAACACTTGAGCTCACCACTGCTTCTCATAACATATGATACATAACTTATAACTGGTTTGTCTCTATTCTTTTTATGTTAGATCATCGGTTTCGCTATGAAAATTTTATAGGTATATTAATTCGATGGTCCATAGTCATATCTAGCCCACAACATAAATGAGACGTCTTAAAAACCTTGTGACTAAGTGACAAATGTTAACCAATAGGTAACAGAACATACACGAAGAAATTTGCATCTTTATCCAAGAACTAAACCTAAAACACATGAAGAAGATTCCAAGTACGCATGGCGTGTCAATAACAAGTTGCTCCAGTAATAACATCATCTCCTTCACTTGAAAGATGTCTTGGGTTTAAATCTAAGGTTGAAATGTTTATATGTATATATTCGTGGATATGGGTGTCTTTCTTTTTTATGAAAAAGGGTTTTGTTAGAGACCCAAAAAAAAGAGGAAAGAAACGTAGCATAAAATTCAAGTAGACATTGATACCTTTGCCTCCAAGCCCCAAGGATGTACAAGTTCTAACATAGAATTATAGCTCTCATTACATTCATATCCAAAAGTGGCTTTTAAGTGCCAACCTTTCTCCAAGATCCAAAGTAGATCCTGAGACTTCTTCAGAAGGGACCAAGAAGTTTGAACAATCATTCAGTGACTTGGAGGAGTACTTGAGCTTTGCTACTCACACCCCTTCACAGAATAAGCTCATCTTCAGTTTCGTAGGAGTTACTACTACAAGCTAACCTGTATTGCTCACTTGCTGTGTGTCAGTGTTCAAGCCTGTTTTAAGTTAAACTCTAACCATGAAAAGACAGTGAACTTGGTGATGCAGTACTTCTAAAATTCTTTTTAATTTTTTGTTTTTTTAATGACAAAAGGTTACTTTAAGAATAGACACCATTACACAACACAGAATCTAGGCATAACTGACAAGATGCTTGGCGGCTACCAGACTACCATTATAATGCAACGTCTTTACTTTTGTAAATTGCATTGGATTACTGATCTTTTTACAATATCTTTACTGTTTTTTCTACAGTGCCCCACAATCGCACTCCTTTGAAATTCTATTACTGTTGTTCTACAGTATTAGCATTAAAAAACAGATCATAAAAATCTGTGTGACCCCAAGTTATATAAAAACATTTTAATTAACAAGGCAACAGTATTAATATTAAAAAAAAAACAGGGTAGGAAAATTTGTGTGAGCCCAGGTTATATAAAAATCTTCCCTTTATTGTATTATGGCAGGCATCTGATGTATTTTTCAAATATTTTTTATAGTAATTTTCTTTATTATTTTATGTTAAATAAAAATAAAAGATTACAAAGGCTTTACAATAAGGTGGATATGAGACCTACAATGAAAAATGAGTAGTGAATATGAAATCAATAATAGAAAAATATTCTCTCCAAATCACAATATAAAATATTTTTTAAAAGTTTTATTTAATTTAAAATGTAGGGTATTGAATAAATTTTATAATTATATAGACATGTGTAGTTTAAAATTTGTTAGTAATTTTATTTACTTGCCTCCTTTATATTTTATCTATATTAAAAATTTTAATCTTCTACTCATTTTTTAAAATTGCGCTCATTAAAATCTTCTTTCCTTTTTATTCAATTATATTGCAACTGAAAATTAATATCCGTGCAGCGTATAGGTATAAAATCTAGCTTGAATTGAAGTATGCAAATTTAAGTTTACTTAAAATTGATTTTTTCACACTTGATTTCAAATAGAATTAATTTTGTTGCAACATGATTTACATTAAACTGCTTTTATATCAAAATCGCTTTTGACAAATACATGTTTAGATGATTTTATTGGAAAGTACTTTTATATGTGTAACTATTTTTTTTTTTCAAAAAAAAAAAAGACACACGGTTATGTAGCATATAATATACAATTTAATTTACTATATATATAAATTACTTAAAAAATAAAAAACATAAATTCAACATCAAATCAAAAATATTACAAGGAGTTTTGACAGTACTACATGACTAACGACTAACTGCACTGATATCAAATTCTATAAGCTGCAAACTTCAACCAGTTCAACAAATTTTCCTCATACGGCTTCAAAGCTATAAACATTTCCCTTTCAGGCTGAGACAGAAGGAGTTGGCAGCATCGGGAATGCCAGTCAGGATCACTTGTGATAGCCTCCATTTTTTGAAGTTCAGCTATCACTTCACTGATAGACGTTCTAGCAATCATTTGTGAACGTGATTCAGATGCAGCGGCAATCCTAATTATTGCATCAGCTATCTTTTTTGAGGTAGGAACTTTCATCTTCTTGTCAGTTGCTTCACCTCTCTTCCTCTTGCCCCTCCCATTGCCTTCACTACTGTTTCCCTGAGAAGTGTTTAAATTAACACTCTGTACCTCAGCAATAAGTCCGGCAGCATTCCCCAGATTTTCATCACAGTCCCCTGTTCCTTCGTCCAAATTCACGCAGCCATCATTCAACGGTGAATGGTACACATAAGCATTTGTGTCATTAGGTAGCGTTCCAGAAGACGGTGCTGGTGCCAATGCCAAATTTCCTGTAGCCGGCGCACTCTTGAACAAAGTGGTTAATTCTTGGGCAAATGGAAGTCCTTTATATCTGAATTTCTCATATTGTGGATTTTCCTGCACATATACAGCTAATTAATGGTACATAATGGACAAATGAAAGATGAAAATTGTAACTTGACATAAAAACTTCATACCAATAGCTTTTTCGCCCACCAATCATCTGGTGCATCTACCGTATTCCTTGCATTATCCCATTTTAAGTCCGCCTCTTCACCAAACAATTTATCCCATAGTACCCATTCTTTTCTAAGGTTGTCCCACTTGTTTTTTAATTGAGTCTTGTCATATTGTCTGCGACTTTTTTCATTGAATCCAGCCCTGATATCTTTCCACCCTTTCTTTGTAAAGGTACCGCCCTTTCGTTCATTTTTGTGCACTTGTTCCAAGCATAATTCAATAAACATCTTAGTTGCTGTCGTATCCCATGTAGCCTTTGACTTGTCGTTGGTCATTTTGCTACAAGGAAATGCACATGAGAAAAACTTTTGTACCAACACAGCAGGCCACAAATTCACAAGTATCATATGAAAATGTATACAAGCTAACACTTGAATTAAATAAAACTCCAAAATAACAATCAGGTTTTAAATATTATCAAGAGCCTATGTCTAGGCCATCACAACAAAAGGTCAAAAAGGGCAGAAGATAGATTATAAAGTAATAATGAACATCCTAAAAGGCATTTATATTTAATTTCAATTAGGCTAATGAAAACTGACGAGAAAAAGAAGCTCTGTCACCAAGTAAACAATTCAATATGAAAGCTATAGAAGGTATCTTAAAAGACCAGCAACAAGTAGAAGGAATGATTAATTCAAGAAGGGGAAGAACGTTCAGGTTAGCTGAAACTTACTGGGCGAGATGAAACAGCCTGGGCAATTTAAATTTATGCCTTCAAGAAAGTAACAAAAAACTTCAATTTATAACATGACGATGGAACAACCCGACATCCAAGAATTGTGATGATTCAATTCAACAAATAGATGAAAACCCCAAATCTCAATTCACGAAAACTTATCGGGGAAAAACAAAATGCAGAAACAACCACATGAACAAACGGAAAGCTGCAATGATAAAGCTGAACCATTTACACGACTTTAACAAAGTCATAAGGTAATCTCACACGTCAGAAAAACAGTAAGGACCCCTTTATCATTGCAACAAAGTTATAGGAAAATGAAGTTTGAACTACGATCAGCTTACAGGTTACAGCAAGTGTAATAGTTGCAACATTTGAAAATTACAACGTGTAACAAACTTATAAGAGATTTATAGCAACACCTCACACAAAATCTTATGATCCATATCAGCAAAATAAAAACATGTAAATAAACCCTGCGATTTTCAACGTCAAAACCCAATCTTCTAGACGTGAATTTATAAACACCCTCCAAAGATCTCTTCTCTCTATTGATAGCTTATCATTTGCTTAGTCACATTAGAAGTAGAACTAGCATCCAAAACCCACTGTTTTCCTCAAAATTGAAATTTATATTTATAAAAATCGATGAACCTGAAAACAGAGAAGGTGAAAAGCAAAACACGAACCTGATGGTAGCAAACTTGGGCAATAAATGCAGATCGAGCAAAGTAAGGAGCAAAACAAGAACCAGATGCCAGATCGACACCAGATCGGAGCAGATGGCAGAACGAAGGAGACGCAACCAGGTCGGCACTAGATGGCCGGTCAACACTGAAGCACGAACCAGATGGCAGCCAAGCAAATCAGCGAATAAGGAAAGCCACCAGAACGGAGAGAGAAGATGAGAGGTGGAACGACGGAGAAAGGGACGACGGGACCGAAGCTAGGTCTGGGAAGCTTGTAACGTGGTTTGGAGGAAGAGCAATTCGGGGGTGTTACGTTCAGTTTTCAGCTGGCTTAACGTGGTTTTGGGCTGTAAATGACGTTTTGGGCTAGAAACGCGGACCCAGGTTCGAATTGGAATTAGAGAAACGTAATTTTAAATAAACTCGATTTTTAGAGTTGATTTTGATAAAAATATTAATTTGGTTAATTGTCATTTTTGTTTGAATTCTTTTTAGAAAAAAAAGTAACTTTCAGAGAATTGATTTGATTTCGATAATTGATTTGATTTAGATATTTTATATCAAAATTTGATATTATCAAAAAAGATAAAACTTTTATCACTTCCTCGCGTACCCAAAAAGAAAAAAAAAACTTTTATCACCTCCTCTACTTTTGTCACTTTCTCTAATTTATCAAAATTATTATTTACTAAATGGTATGAATACTATTATAAATTTTGTGAACTTTAAATATTAATATTAAAATAAAATAAACTATATTATTTTCAAGTGAAGCATAAATTATCCACTAGCATTAGTTTCTTCCTTTCTTTCTAATGAGTTGTCTTGTGAGAAATATTATTTGATGCAAGTCAAATACTATACGTGAACATCCTCTAATTAGAATTTAAATTTTGATTTGTTACATTATAAGAGGTTAGCTCATTCCAAAAGAGTTCTCCCATGCAATTACAACAACAACAATAACAACAACAAACCTTTATCCCACTAGGTGAGGTCGGCTACATGAATTGCAAGACGCCATTGTGCTCTATCATTTATTAAGCTTTTAGGAATATTATTAATTAACAGATCGCGTTCAATAATTTCCAAAAGTGTTTTCTTAAGCCTTCCTCTACCTCTTTTAATCGGACTCAAAGTTATATGTTCCACTCTTCTCACTGGTGCCTCCCTTGGTCTTCTTTGTACATGCCCAAACCATTTCAACCGATTTTCTACCATTTTTTCCTTAATAGGTGCCACCCTCACTTTTTCGCGTACGTATTCATTTTAAATTTTTCTCCCATGCAATTAGTAAGAATGAAATATTAAACCTTTAGTTTATACCATTTTCTCTCTCTCATTTTTAACAATCAGGGTTTATTCATAATCTTAAAAAGAGACATGACAAGGGAGGACAAACAAAGGAAGACAGAGAGACAGCAAGAGAACAACGCAGAAAAGAGACAAAACAGCTGAGCAAAAATGCAACACTCAATCAGAGCAACTCAGTGCCTGGTATGGTCAGTAAAAAGACTTTTTGCAACAGATGTAATTCTGAGAATAAGAGATGCTGGAGGAAAAGACAGACCCCAGAGAATCGATCATGTTGTAAACCTCTTCCAAAAAACAATTGTATTTCCGATCGCAAGATGCAACATTCTTGCCAGATAATTAATTAATTAATTACTTGAAGACCTTAGCGCCATCAGTCTCCCCTATCACAGTCATATCAGAAAAATCAGCAGCAACAAATAATGGCTTCTTCACAGCCAAAAGTTCAGCAATGAAGTTTGAATTTGCTTTGATAGGTTCATGCCAGCCCTTCATCATGATACCATAGTGATTTCTGCACAAGGCATCAATACCTACACGGTGTGTGGCCTTGTGGAAGGCACCATCACAATTAACATCCATTGAGCCATGAGGAGGACAGCACCAGGAACGAACAAATAATTGAGGTCTTCTTTACCTCATACCATTTGACTTAAAAACCAAGCAAGAACCAAATTCTTTTCAGAATGTTCGAAATCCACACGGTGAAACCTATAATAGCTGTAAGTTTGTTGTTTATGCACGCCACCGCAATTACAATTACACATTGGCCCATGATGGCAAAACAGAATGAGACTAGGATTGTTTACCAGTAATGAACCATAAATGACAAGACCAAATCTGGATAGAGGACAAGGATACGACCATTTACCAGACACTGAAATTAAGAAATAAGGTTACTACAGTTATCATCTAATAATTTTACCCCACAATTGAATATAGAGCTATAATATTTTCCCACGGATAAACAACAATCTAGGAAGTCCTTCCTAGAAAGCATGATCCCAATAATGCAAATGATACATAGCACTATCATAATTTACAATCATCAACCAAGGATTAAGCATTAAAAACTTGGGAAAAAAAAAAAAAAGACATAGAACAGCCAGATATACTTCCTCGATGTTGCCTTACCAAAAAAGCAATATGAACTCCAATAACCTGCATCTCTGTTCTCTACCTGCCTAGTTCATTGATCCGTTCTTCCTCATCCAATCACCATAGATATTGTTATTCTTTTTGGATTGATATGACTGTTTTCTACATGTTTGAGCTCTAGTAAAACTGAAAAATTGATTCTTGAAAGGGGATTTTTCATTAACCATTGCCTGCAGAGGCACAACAAGAATACCACTAGCTTCCACCCAGTTTTGCTGTTTCACAACTCCGTGCAGCGTATATTGCGATCTATCCCAATATTCTAAACTCAAATTGTTAGGACTCAGTCCTACAACAGAAGGCGGCTTAATCAACAATAAAATTTTATTAGGAAGAAACTTACAGCTTCAATTGGTATGCGGGAGAAATTTGGATATGGGTATTAAGGAATCATCAACTTCTCTTCACGCAATAACGATTCTTCATTAAAATCAAACTTTCTGATGGTCAGGGAAAAAAAAAAAAAAAATCAAACCTTCCCAGCTCTTTGAGGACTGCAAACCTTCCTACGATCCCGTAACTTCCATATTGTTAAGCCAAAAGCGACAACCCATCACCACATACTCCCACCCCTCTGGTCATCATTATTCAACCAGCTACCAAAATTCTCATTCATAAAGGAAAGAAGCTCATTTCGAACCAGCAAGGTCCAAACATTTTATGCATGTATATAGGTGCACAGTACATGCTTCAAGTCTTCAACATCACCACCACACAGTACACGAGCTTTTTGTGTCAGTCGAGATTTGAGAGGGGCTTCTTCAAAACTATCCAAATGAATACACTCTCTTTGAGCTCCTGGCCAATACCAAGTGAGCTTCCAGAACAATACACTTTTCTCAAATTCTTGAATTCCTTGTCCTACATTTAAAAACGTGTATTTTCCCTTGCAAATTTGTAGCCTTATAAAAATCACGGTTTCTTACAACGAAATATTTTAGCATCATCATGCATCCTCATGTGTAGGGTAATCCTCCTTAGCACAACATGAATATCGCTAATATTTGGATGAGATGCATCCCCTCCAAGGAAACAATGGGTTTTGTTTCCAATCTGCACCCAACTACATGCTCTTTGTTTTATAACTCCTCGATCTTTCATCAAAATCCTGATCCTATTGACATCCTTCCACTTGCCAGCGGCAGCATAGATATTAGATAACATAACAAAAGCACCAGAACTATAAGGATCCAAATTCAGAATTCTTTTAGCTGCCAGTTCCCCCAATTCAACATTTACATGAACACTACAGGCAGCAAGAAGAGAACCCCAGATGGCGGAGTCTGCTTCAAATGGCATATCTTGGATTATTTTGAAGGCTCTCTGCAGCTGACCTGCTCGACCCATTATATCAACTAAACAAGCATAATGTTCAGACCTTGGGGAAATATTATATTTATGGATCATCATATTAAGCAGATTCATACTCCCTTCAACCTTCCCCGCATGACAACAAGCAGATAGCAAACTCAAGAAAGTTATCCCGCTAGGTTCAACACCGACTGAAACCATCTGATTGAAGTAGGAGAAGGCTTTGTCATATAGACCATGCTGTGCAAATGCAGCAATGATGGTGTTCCATGAAACGAGGTCTGGATGAGAAATTTGTAGAAAAGCTAACTCAGAATCAACGATTCCACCACATTTGCTGTACATAGTAATCAAGGCACTACATACAGGCAAATCTGACTCAAACCCATGCTTAATTACTAGAGCATAAACCTGTCTTCCTTCTTCAAGTGATGCAAGATGGGAACAGGCAGTAAAAACTGAAACAAAAGTCAAGTCATCTGGTTGCATCCCAGTCTTGACCATTTGTGAAAACAAATTCATTGCCTCCTCCCCTATCCCATTTTGAGCATAACCTGCCAACAGTCAGACAGTTCGTTACGAAGGCAAGTTCCACCAGGGAAACCAAGCACAATAGCAGAAGAAAGAACAGCCTGATATGTTTACAGCAAATCCTAATTTCATTTTCGCCTCTCCTTCAACTTAAGGAAAATCTAAATTAGCCTTTAAAGTCCGGCCCATTATACATGATGGCCAGATATTTGAAGAATTTAAAGGAAGCAAATGTTTGAGCTTTATTCATTATGCCTTAGTCTAATACACCTGTCAAGAACTGAAGTACTAGGCACATCTTACTTCGCACATGTCATCTCATGTACCGATCCTCGGATTTTGAAGAGAGCCCATTGGAGATGAGAACTACCTTAAAAAGCTAGCCAAAATTTTTAGCATCTAGAAGTAGAAGAGTAACCAAGAATATTCCGGCAAATAACAGCTGATTGACCACATATGAATATTGATAGATCCAAAGTCTTAAATTGTTGCATACTTTCAGGATTGCTGCAAATAAGCCGCCAGCAGCTTTTTACAAAACAAGATAGAGTAAAGGAGTCAAAAAGTATACATATCCAATTACAGAAAGTAGTCTAATATTAGCCAGCAAAATATATCATATACTCTGTGCAAAGCAAAGGGACTTTGTTAGCATATAGATGCTTCAAATTTTAAAAGTGAGCTAACAACAAATTAACTCACGCACAGTAATAATGTTCATATGGCATACCTGTTATCATTGCATTCCAACAAATGCGATCTCTGGAACGGATTTCTTCAAACAAGAATCTAGCGTCTTCCATTCTCCCCTCCTTACAGTAACCCGTTATCATAGCTGTCTTCACAACAATATTCTTCTGCGGCATTCGTTCAAACAGTTTCCCTGCATCATCATAAAACCCATTCTCCACAAGGCCACTAATCATCACCGTCCAAGAGATAGCGTTTTTACGAGGCATGACATCAAACAGTGCCCTTGCGCGCCCGATCTCACCTTTCCTGGCATACCCATCGATCATTGCCGTGTAAGAAATGACATTCCGAGAAGCCATCTCGTCAAAAAGTTTTTGTGCTTCATGCATCCGGTCAAATTTTACAAAACCCGAGATCATTGCGTTGTATGACGCAGTATTCTTCTCTGTCATTGTCAGAAAATAGTTGGAAGCATCGTCAACCATGTCGTTCTCCACAAACCCAGCTATCATAGAATTCCAAGAAACCACGTTCTTCACAGGCATCGACTCAAACAGCCTTCTCGACTCTTCCAAAAAACCATTTTGCCAGTACCCAGTCACCATAGAATTCCACGTAACCACGTCTTTCTTGGGCATTTCATCGAACAATTTCCGTGCAGCACCAGGGTTTCCTTCTCGCGCAAGAGCACCAATCTTGAGGTTGCAACGATATACATCCCAAGTCGAAATGAACTTCAAAAGTAGGAATCGGCGCTCAATATTGGAGGATAACGTCGAGTCTACTGAGATTCCACTGTTGCAGATTCGAGTTTGAATTATGGGTAAGAGCGACACCTGCTTGAGGGTGGGTACGTGGAAGAGAAAGAGAAGCAGCATGCGGACAAAAAGCCAATAACGCACAAGTGTTAAAACTTCGAAGCCAGTAAAACAGTTAACATGGTGAAGATAAGGGTCTCTTCATTTTTTCCTCTTCATTTCCTGAAAAAATTGGTAAAAAGAATTAGATTAAAAAATAAATTATTCTTAAGGATTAAATACTTTTAAAGAATTAAATTAATTATTTTATTCAGAAAAAGATGAAGGAAATTGACCAAAATGCTTTGGAAGAAAACATACTGATCGGAGATGATTTTTTTGGCATCCCTTCTTCTCATTTTCTTCATTTTTTTCTTTGATTTCTCCGATCTTGCTGTCGGCATTCTCATTTCTAGATTTCCTTCGTCTTTCTCTTCGCCCTCAACATTCAGCGTTCGATGTTGACTCTGATTCACCTTTGTGGGTCCGTCGCAAACAATTCAACGCAGCTTCTCTCTCTCCTTTCCCACTCAGTTTAGGTGAGTAATAGAGATTTAGCTAGCTGAGTAATTTATCAATGGGAAGAAAATGAATTCGTAAAAGAAGTATGGATTATGAAAATAAATAGAACAACTGAAGAAAAATCTGACCATATATAATTTCATTGAATGTAAGACCTAAATGCACATGTTCCTACTAAAGTGACTAAAATTAAACTTCATTTCTTTTACATTCTTTTATACATACTAGTAAAGCATGTTCCTCTTGAATACGCATCAACTATTGCCTTGACTTTTCTTTGCAATCTGCAAGTTTTGACTAAAATTAAACTTCATTTCTTTTACATTCTTTTATGCATACCAGTGAAGCATGTTCCTCCTGAATGCTTATCAACTGTTGCCTTGACTCTTCTTTGCAATCTGTAAGTTTTTGGTCACTCCTTCCCTCCTACTTGTTGTACTAATTTATCTGCAAGTTCTGTATTGATTTGATTTGAGTGCGTTGTGAATCTAATTTTTTTGAATTTTGTACTATTTATTTATTTGTAGTGGGAGTTTGCAAACTGAAGTCTTTTATGCAGAATTTTTGTTGGAGTTGTGAAATATGAACTTGTTGTAATTGTGAAATTAAGTTTGCTGTAATTGTTGGTTTGCATATTAAAGTCTTTTGTGGTGTAATTATTGAAATGCTTATTTTAAGTTTTACACTTTTTGATAATTGAAGGATTATAAGGATGAAACAAAGATAAGCTGTTGTAGTTGCCAAGACAGCATCCAAAACTATTGTTGAGACGCAAAACACTTCTAAAGATTCATAATCTTCTAAAGAGATGGAAGGGAAAGATGTAGCGTTAACTAAAAGGGAAAGTGAAGATGAGAATGACAAACTGCAAAAATCTACTTTGAAAAAATTGTAGAAAGCTAGCAATAAGTCAGTACTTAGCTAGGCAAGGCAAAAGAGGACTTTTTTGTTTTTCCCCTAATTATGTTGATGGTAGATCTTTAATGGATTCCATATAAAAGCTAATGAGTTTCTTTGTTTACAAATGCATGGCCATTGTTAATGTTGTCTTTTCTTTCATCCCTAAGGTTTATGGTTTGAAATTGAATTGGTGAATATGCAATCTACAATTTGCAATCCTTTCTTGAATTTTAAATTTATATATTTGTTGCCAAGTTAGTTACTTACTTGCCTGTGAAATTATCGCTTGATAAAGGCTTTGAACCTATTCTCTTATATATAACCAACTTTCTCTCTTCTAGTTGTGAATTATTCTATTTTAGTTTAGGCCTTGGAAATCAGGTTAAATTGGTGCATAAGCCATTGGTGTTGTTATTTAGGTTGTGCTGATACTTTATAATCCTAGTTTAATGAATAACTAAATGTCATATTTGCTGACATTTTGAGAAGTATGCATTTCTCAACTTAAAAATTTTTAGATAACTCTTCATAATGTTACTTTTCTAGGTTGCACTTGTAAGTTGATGCTTGTGGTTATGTGAAATTTTGTTGTTAATTCCTATGGCTCATTTTGTTGATTTTTATTTTACTGCTGTCAGTTAAATAACAAATGTATCAATCAAAGATTGTTTCTAATTCAAGTCTAGCTAATAGCAATTTATTAGTTAATGGCTAGCATTTTGATTGTGGTGGTAGTGCAATAGATCCTCACATCTAATACTGGTTTCTTCTTTTTTGTTGATGCTATGGCACAGCTTGGAGGGCTAAATAGTGAGTCTTCTTTTTTTTATTACCACTTAACAGGGACTGGTTTCTTTTTCTTATTCTCCAAACCAAATTTATGGCATTTTTTTTTATTTGATAAAGTGTAAATATTAGGTTGCTCAGTGGCCATCAAAATCAATTTGCCTCGCTGTGTTACTTATTTTTGTTACCTTAGATTTAGTTGAAAGCTATCAAGCATGACATTTATGACTCAATCTACAATATAAGAAAAATGTTTCATGTCATTGATTTTTGCTTTATTGATTTATAGGTGCTAGGTTTCTAGCTTAAGGTGCACTTTTTTATGGCTTGGGGTACAAGGGGTATGATTTGGGTGCAAAGGGTATAGCTTAAATGCAAAGTTTTTGGTTTAGGTGCAAGAGATCTGGTTTAGGATGCAAAGCTTTTGGCTTAATCATTTCCATGTAATTCATAGTTGTTTTTATATAATTCAGGGGCATTAACAATGGTTTACATATAATTCGCTAGATATTACACATAAATTATTCCTCAGACATGCTCATAAATTTTTTCATATATTAATTTATATATAATTCGTAGTCATTTTCATGTAATATAAGGGCGCTGACAGTGGCTTGTTCTCTATATCTTTAATTTATTTATAATCTGCTAGAGATTACATGTAAATCATTCCTTAATCATGCTCATGAGTTTCTTCACATATTGATTTACATGTAGTCCACAATCATTTTTCATGTAATTATGAGGGATTGATAGGGGGTGCTTTTTATTTGTTTGATTTACATGTAATCCATAATCGTTGTCATGTAATTCTGAGGGATTGACAAGGGTGCTCTCTATATGTTTGATTTATATATAATTCGTTAGAAATTATATATAATTGTCTAAGCCAGAAACCTTACACCTAAAGCCAGATACCTTGCACCCCAACCTAGAGGCCTTACACTCAAGTTAGAATCCTTGCACCTTAAGCTAGAAGCCTTACACCTTTTGGTTGTTGAGTTTACATGTAATCCTTGATGATTACATGTAATCAATGAGTTTTGAATTTTTCTGGCAACCCTTCACCTATTGGCATGCACGCCATCAACTATTAGAGCTTTGGTCGGAGGTCACCAAAGCTTGGGTGACTGAATTTTGTGCCTTTTTCTTATTTTTTTTTAGTTAACATGGAGGGGCATTTTTATCATTTGATCAAATTATTTTATGAATAAAATAATAGGCTTGGTTCTTTCATGAACTTTGGTCCTTAAGCATAATTTTAGTTTCAATATGATCCTTTGCACCAATTTTTCCTTCCATTTTCCTCCATTTCTCCAATCTATAACAAGGTGGCGCTCTGATTCTGGTATTTTGGCATTACTTCAAACGACATTGTGATTAGATACATAGAGAATATATGCTCAAGAATTACAGGATAACAAGAGGTACAAAATCAATACATTACCTTATTAGCTACAAGCTAGAGGTTCACTAGTTTTCTAATCACCAATATCAATCATTCTATATAAATATATTCTCCTACGATGAGATCTAAAATAAAAAGATTTATTTTATCTGGCCATTCTCGTACAAACAAGATTCATCGTGCGTGAGCATGAGAGAATTATATTAAAGTCTTAAAATAATGAGCTTATAACTATTAGGTCTCCGATAAAATTTTAAAAAAATTAATTATAAATATTAAGTTAGATAGTCATAAATTTAGAAGTTCTGATAGCAAATAAAATATTTAAATTTTAAATATAACTATCATTTTATAATTGAGATTACTATTTACAATGATTTGGATTAATATTTAAAATTTATTTTTTTTAGAAAATCTTATTAAAAGTTAACTGTCCTAAATTTCAAATTTTAAAATTTTATTGTTATTTTCTCCCTCTATATATATAGTAGATGATAACCACTACATTAGTTTGAAATATGTACAGGGAACATACTTTTAGAAGAGTTCTCTCAATTTAGACCCTAAATAAGTTTGAGTCCATATTAGTTCCATGTTAAGAGACAAATAATAAATTTGCGCCATTTTTATCACCAAGCACCAAATGCTTTCGCTGTGAAATCTGGATTCAATGAGTGTCTCAGATCTTCACACCAAGAAAGTATATCACGTGACACGAAAGAGATTATTGACTCAATTGAATTCTTGCCATAGATGTGTTTTTTTTTTTTTTAACTAAAATACACTAACACCCCTTTAGTTTTACAAAAATTACGCAATCTAATTGTCTAATCTCTCCCCCATTTCCAGTTAAAGAATTTTAAATAATTATGGTAACATCTAAATAACAGTTTTACATTTTATTAAAAGTAATTAAATATAAAATAAACATAAACATAAACGATATCAATCAGTCTATCCTTCATTATATTGAATTCATAATTCATTAAGTTATCTTGTATGCGCGTTTGAAATAGTATTTTTTTAACCATTTTATATATTTAAACTTCAAAAATTTACTAAATAAGTAAGCTTCCATAACAAAAATTTAAAATTTGATGAAAAAAGTTTAGAAACGTGTGCACTAAAATTATTTTAAATAACCCAAACAAGTTTTAAACAACATAAAAATATTAAAGAGGAGATATTTTAATAAAAAATAATTTAATAGTCAGTCAATGATTGGATTAAAAAATATATATTCTTAAATAAAGATTTTGTATGGGTTGTAAAAACAGAAGGGAAATATTTGTTATTAAAATAAAATGAATGATTCGGCCAAAAGAAACATAAAATGAATGAGATGAGACACCATAAAAATTGATCAAGTTAATAAGAATTTGATCAATAATTTACAAAATTATGAGATATTTAAAGGTTTAAATCCTACTGCTCATGTGAGAAACTAGTTGGTAGGCAATTTGTATACCTTTGTAAATGCTTTTTAAACTTCAAGGTATACCTTAATCCTGGTGAGTTTATTAAGATCCAACTCACCTAATTTTTTTATTGACAAAAATTAATGAGATATTAATTATTTAATTCTTCTTTGTTTTCCAGACAAATCTTCAACCATATATTGAGTGCGGTAGAAAGAAAAATTAGATATTAATTGCTACTATCATTTACATAAGTCACTTGTTACTTAAAATAATAAAATTATCTTAAAAATATATTACTTTTTAATTTTGTCTCCGCATTTAAAAGAGCGATGTGTGAGAAGGATTTTCTTAAAAATTAAAATATTATACTTTTTTTGAGAATTTGCAAAAAAAAAAGATAC